GAAAGAAAGAAAGAAAGAAAGAAAGAAAGAAAGAAAAAGAAATCAGTGTTCAGGTTGCACTTCAGACCAGCTAAGTTGGACTCCAGGAGGTAGGAGGAAGAGAGCTATAGTTTTTACTTCCCAGATGATTCTAATGTGTAGGCAAGTTTCAGCAGTGTTCTAAACTATCTCCTATGTTCAGGAACCACTGTCCTTTATTCACTCAACAGACATGCACAAAGCAATTACACCATCCTGAAACCAGTCTCAGAACCTGTTGGGGTTTTTTTTTAGCTTTTTATTGAATACTCCCAATGATGGGGAACTCACTGCCACAAAGGCAGATGCTTTCCAAAGAGCTGGTGCTTTGGTAGGGTACAGGCAGAAGGGATGCATTGGGGAGGAGACTCAGATGTGTTAGTTTGGTGACAGCAATGGTTTTTGAAACTTGACATGTACAGTTTCTTTGAAACCTTACACCCACCCACCCAGTGAGGCAGGAAAGGCCATCACAGTATTGCAGATGAGGAAACTGAGGCTCAGAGAAGAAAGGGGTGCAGCCAAGCCCACTCAGCCCACGTGGTGGAGCCGGATATACACCCCGGAGCGGGACTTCGGGAGGGGCCCAGGACTGGTTGTGGGGGAGACGGGGCTTGGCCCACGGCCGGAGGTCACATCCAGGGGTCAAATCAGGGGTCATTTTCAGGTGTGGAAAGACCTTCTGCCCCAGTTTCCTACCAACTCCCCAACACCCACATTATCCCTCTGCTTCCCTCTTCCCTGACAAATATATTTGTGTCCAGCCCTGGAGACCCAAGGCATCCTCCAACACTAGCGATGACACACAGAAGGAACCACACCAGGCCACGGTGCTCAGGCAGAAGGTCTGACAGTCCGTGGTGCTGCTGAGGTCCTGCCGGGTGGAAGAAGACATCATCCTGGCAGTCCCCGGTTGTAGCCCACCCTGGACACATCTGTGCAGCAGTAACAGCAGCTGCCCTTTCCCGTGCCCCTGCCCTGCCACCATTCCCAGCTCCCGAAACAACCCTGCAAACTCAGGGTTGAGCTTCTCACGGGCAGAAACAAGGCAGAGTCAGAATTTTAAAGATTGCCCTCCAATGTCATCTACTTGCTACTCACAGAGAGTGGCTCCTTTCTCCCTGGGAAAGGGATGGGGCACCCAGAAGCCAGGGCTCAGGAGATCCCGGGGTAAGGACACCCATATTCAATCACTCCTCCAGACAGGGACCTCACAACCTCCACCAGACAGGTGAGCAACGGCTCCCGCCCCTACGAGGACATTCCTTCCAGAAGGTTCTGTATTGTTTGTACATAACCTCCACACCCAGCCAGTTCCTGAGAAAACCGCTGGGAGCCAGCCAACCGGAAGGAGGCCCACGCAGCAGTGGGACAGACGTGGGGTAGACACCAGGAGACTTGGATGAGAGTGCTGAGCCAGGAATGTACAAAGGGCCAGGGATGATGGCACCTGAGTCCCAGGAGGTCTCTGTGAGCAGGGCTGGGCTTTCCATCTAGAGCATTGGGCAGGTGATTCCCTTCAGTGGAATAGTGACTTACGGTATCACATGGCCTCTCAGAGATCTCTGCGTGACTCTGATGTTAGATCTGGGCAGAGGGCTGTGGTGGCTGAGAATGTAGAGGGGGTGGGGAGGGGCAACCAGCAAGGGACAGACCAGAGCCACCACGGCCTGGAGATCTCTGAGCCATGCACCTCCTTCTCCCACAGGCCAAGTCCCCTCGTGTCCCACAGCCACAGGCGTCCCTAGGAGGAGCCCCAGGGAGGATGCTGGAGGCCCATCCCATCCCCACCCCGTAAGCCTCAGTTTCCTCTTTTTTAAAATGGAACAATGGCCTAGATAAGCACTGTGCAATTGAAATACAATGTGTACCATAAATTTCCTGGTAGCCATATAAAAAAAGTAAAAGCAAGTGTAATTCATTTTAATGAGTTAGTATTGAACCCAGGTCTCCAAAATATTAATATTAACCCGTATGTAACTATTACTGACATTTACATTCTTTTTGATACTAAGTCATGAAGCGCCAGTTGTGTCTTTGATACCACACATCTCAGTTTAGACTAGCGACATAGCCACAGCTCAAAAGCCCTCTGCAGCTAGGGGCCACCATAGTGGACAGTAGATACAGACAATCTCTTGGGCCTCCCCCAAAATCCTGGTTACAACGGGATTCCCAAGGCCAAGCTGGAGCCCTCACACATTTGACTCGTGTCATCCTGGGGCCTGCCTGGTCCCAGCCAGGCAGCACGTGTGGGGAGTCATTTCAAGTGGCAATAAAATGTGTCACTGACTCTGGAATCCAGCATACCTGGCGTACTCAGCTGTGTGCCCTGGGCAACTTATTCATCCTTTCTGAGTCTCGGTTTTCCCATGTTTAAATTGGAAACGATGATAGTTAACATTATAACACACTTACTCTGTCTCAGCTGTGTTGCCCTCAGCCGTCTATGTGTACTGACTCCTCATCTGAAGGTCTCTTACCTGTAATCCTAGCTCTGTGCAAAGGACCGCGAGTTTGAGTTCAGGCTAGGCAACAGCGTCTTAATGAGACCCTGTCTTAAAACAAACAATAAAAAAAGGGCTGGAGATGTAGCTCATTGTGAAAGACCTGAGTCTAATCTTCAGTACCACAAAGCGAAAAAAGTCTGTCATTCAGTGTTCCAATTTATAGGAGAGAGAGTTGAAGCCCTGCGAAGTAACTCGTCCAAGGTCACACAGCGAGTGTGTGGCTGGGATTCAAACCCAGGCTGTCTGGCTGAACCTCAGGTCCACACTGGTTGCCTGGGGTGGCTACAAGGGTTAGGTGAAGGATTTCGGAAAGTTTCTGGCACCGCACCTGGCCCATAATGGGCATGCAACAAATTGTTGCTGCTGCCCTTGACTGAGGCAAGAGGGGATATGGGAAGAGCCCCCCGGTGACCTCTAAAGCCTGCGGCACTGCTGGGTCCTGACCAACTAGGAAGCAGCCCTCTCTGAGCTTTCCTTGTGCTGGCCCAGCCACAGCCAAGGGGAATTTGGTGGAAAAGGCATCTTCCTTGTTACACAGGTTCAGAGCCTCCGAAGGTGGATGATTCAGGGACTGCAGGGCCTGGGGCTCATGGCTTTGGGCTGGTGGGTGGCCTTGGTGTCAAAAGCAGGTGCAAGACCAGGCCATTGGGTCCCAGTGATGGCATCTTCGGAGGTCGGGGGATGGAAGAACAGGGAGAGGGACTCAAAGGTCAAAGGACTGAGAACCTGGAAGCAGCCACAGTCATAACCATAGTCAGAGCTGGGGATGTGTTAGCAGGAGGGTGCATTCTGCTAAAATAAACTAAAATCCTGATTCAAACTAACCCCAAGTAGCAAAGAGGAATTTATATTTGAAAAGTCCATACATAGTTCTGGCTTGAGCTGGATTCAGTTGTTCTAAAAATCACCAAGAGTCCACATTTGTCTCCATGTTCCCACCGCTGCTGCAGAGTTGCCTGCCCCATGCTGACACCAAGGTATCTCCTGGGGCTATACGCACCCCTTCTCCCTCCAGCAGGAAAGAGAAGCATCTCTATCCCAGCATTCCCAGCCCAGGTCCTGAGACTTACTCTGATTGGTCCAGCATTGGTCACATGGCCATCTCTGAGCCAATCCCTATGCCTGGAGGAATGGTATACACTGATTGGCTGAGTTTAGATCACGTGCTCTATCTGCTCCCACCACCTGGGAATAGAGACTTTGGAAAGAGATTGGTGCTCTGGGAAGACAAAGAGTAATAAATGTTTTTTCCACTATGCCTTGGTTCCATGTCTGCCACTGCCTGGCTGTGTGACATGGATAGACTCTCCCTCTCTCAGGCTGGAGGCGCTACAACAACTCTGCTATATAAATCAGACCCAAGAGGAAGATGCTGCAGTTGAACTGGGAGTGACGACCCTGATTCTGTCCCCTCCCTACAGGGGCCCCAAGATCCTCCATCGTCCCCTCTAGGTCTGGCAAGGGTGGGTCACTGGAGTCAGCATGGAGCCTTGGGTAGTTCCTGGCACACGATCCCAGCTGCACCAACCAGGTGATGTCTAGGGAACCTGACATCAAGGTGGCAACTGAGGTCTTGTCTACAGAGGAGAGGGAGGGAACTTCACAGATCCCACCATTGCTGCAGCCCCTCAGCACCCTCAGCCCAGTCAGAAGCCCCTGCCGCTCACCACAACTGCACACCTGAGGAGGAACTGGAGGATGATGGGGGTGATACGGCTGGGGCCATCGCTGCTGTGGGCCATTTGGCCAGGAGCCAGGCTCGGGGAGACAGCATGACAGAGCTGCCTTTGACTCCAGAGGACAACAATGTCTTTGCAGTGTCCCTAAAGGCTGGCCCTCACCTCCTTAGTCCCCTGGACCAGGTTAGGCCAGTACTGAGTTGTTTCAGATTGATAAGAGGATGGTGCCCGTATGTGGTGCTGGCAATCTACAGCGAGCAAACCACCCCTGCCTTTGGTCTCCTTGACTTCCGACGTCAGGAAAGGCACAGGCCGAGGGGAGTGCTCTGCTGTGTGAACCAACTTTCGTGGAGGGCCTGCTCTGTGTTCCAGGCTGCCTTGTGTTACTGCATTTCGCCCTTGGCTAGAGGTGAGGCGGGAGCTGTTATCCCCGCCCTCCCTCTCACAGGGGCACCTGCCTGCACCACTTGGCCAGAGGTGACACAGCTGGGGTCTGCCACCGAGGTCCGTGCAGCTAAAGCCCACGTGAGGAGCAGTCAGCGTGACTGGTGGGGTGGCCACAGTTTGGTCACTGTCCCTGAGCCCTTGAAGGATGGAACGGGAGAGAAAGATCCACAGGAACTCAGAGGCCAGGATGACACCTCCCCCGGGGATACTTCCAGGAGCAGATTTTCACTGGACTTGAAAAAATGGTGTGACACTTGAAGCTGTGGGACAAAGGCCCGGGCAGCCTGGTGGTGTGACCTGAATGTACTGTCACCGAACCATTTTGCGCAGCGTGGGAAGAATCTCTGGACTGCTAGGGGCTGGATAAATGGGCTTGGGGCTCCTTTTTAGCTCTGAGGTGCTGTGGTTCTGAATTTGGTGTTTTTCCAACACACACACACACGCACGCACACACACCATCTGCGGTCTCAGCCCCTCCAACCTCCCTCTTCCCAAAACGTCCCTTCCCTCCCGCTGTGTTGTGCCCATTGATGTCTCCCGCAGCCCAGTATCTGCTCCACATGAACTAACTTTCAAAGGCCCCATCAAACCACCCTGGCTACCAAACCACCCTGAAGTCAATGGCATAAAGCAGCCACTGGACTTTGCCCAGCCTGGGGTCAGGAGCTCAAACAGGGCACATTGGGCCAGTTCTACTCCATGGTGACTGGAGGAACAGGAGCAGAGGTCACCTGGAGAAGTGTTGGCTCATGTGCGGCCATCAGCAGGGCCCAGCAGGACAGCTGAAGCAGCACACTAGGGTCTCCCCTTGGTGAGTCTGGGCTTCCTCACAGCATGGCGGACAGGTTCCAAGGTGCCCATGCCAAGTTTGCAAGAAGGGAAGGAAAGTCATTCCTTTGACCTGAGCTTGGAGGCCCCAGAGCATCTCTGCCTCTCTGTTTCTCTCTCTCTCAGCAGCCGATGCGCAGAAAGCCCCACCCAGTTCAAGGGCAGGGGACACAGGCCCCTGTACTAGGTGGGGACACATCCAGGCCACAGTGCAGGAAGAGCAGGTTGAAGGGGAGACAGTGCTGTAGCCACCTCTGGAAAAGCTGACCTGCCATGTCACCCTGCGGATGGGGCCCAACCCCATTCACATCTCACAGCCTCTCTTCACAGTCCTGTCCCTTCTGCCTGTCCCCCTCCGCTACTTCTGCTCCCCTCTCAGGGCTCAGTGGAGATACTGAGGAAGTCTGCTGTGACCTGCGGCTCACTCAGGGCCCCTTTGTCCACTACATCTGTCATTCTGTGTGCAGTGGCTTCTCTGGTTATTGGTCTCCAATAGACTGTGGCTCCCACAAGGGTAGAGATGGGGTCTATGCTGAACACATTTTACCCCCAGCAGCTGGCCCAATCCCACCTCATTTCTGGGTCTTGCCAGCAGCCACCTCCTCCAGGAAGTCTTCCAGGATTTCCAGGTAAACTCAGGCATCTCTCTTCTCTCCCTCAGCCTCCACAGCCCCAGCTGGGCAGGTATTTGGGAATGCCAGAGGAAAGGAAAGAGCTCCTCCTCTCCTCCCAAGCCAGAGCTTGTTATTCCAGTGAAAGAGGCAACAAATTACGAGCTGGGCAGTGATTAAAACAAGGGCATTGTTCTGGGCTGCTAATTGCATACCTGAGGAGTGAGGTGCTGGCTCGGCCTGCGGTGTCTTAACACAGACTGTGTCCGCAGGGTCAGGCCCAGCCCGGAGGGGAGCCCAACAGAGCTCAGGGATGGAGGGGCTTTGTCAAAGCCACCAGCCCCAAAGGGGGGCCTTGCCTGGACACTCAGCCCCAGACCCCCTGTGCACCCAGGGAACTGAGTGCCAGAAACACTCGTGCCTTTTTTATTCTTTCTCCAATTTATTATTAACACGTTTGTGGTACACAATGCTTATATTCATCTCAGGGGAAGGCACCCGTACCTAAGGCATCTGAATTCTTTTTCTTCCCTCTCCCTGCCCTCCTCACCCCTCCCTCCATCTCTTGGTCCCCTCCCCATTTGTAAAAGATCTATCTCCCTGTTTCCTATCGCCTAGCTATTGTTTTTTAATTACTTATTCTTTGAGTTTCTTGTGTAATAGAAGCTAAGCAATATTGATGTTTGTGTGTCTGATTTATTTCACTTAACATTATGGTCTCAAGGTATATGCATTTTCCTACAAATGACTCAAGGTTATCTTTCTTTATGGCACAGTAGTACTCCATTATGGATAAATACCACATTTTCTTTATCAATTCATCTGATGATGGGCCTACAGGCTGCTTCCAAGATCTAGCTATCATAATTGTGCTGCTATAAACATGGGTGTGCATGTACCACTGTAATATGATGTCTTTAACTCTTGAGAAGACACCAAGAAAGGGAACAACAGCTGGGTCAAATGGAATTTCTAGTTTTAGTTTGTTTAGAAATCTCCATACTGAGTTATACTAGTTTACATTCCCACCAACAGTGTAGAAGGGTTTCTTTTTCCCTGCAGTCTTACCAGCACTTGTTATTGTTTGTCTATCTGTCTGTCTGTCTGTGTGTTTTTTAATGATAGCCACTCTTTCTGCAGTAAGACAGAATCTCAGTGTTGTTTTAATTTGATTTCTCCAATAGCCTCAGATGCTGAACTTTTTTTTTTTTTTTACATATTTCTTGGCCATTTGTACTTCTCCTGAGAAATGTCTGTTCATTTCAGAAGTCCATTTTTTGACTGTATCTTTTATTTTAGGGGGTCTGTTTTTTGGGGTTCTTTGTAAATTCTAGACATTGGACCTCTGTCAAAGGAGTAGCTGGCAAAAAGTTTTTCCCATTCTGTAGGGAATATACCTCTTCACTCTATTAACTGTTTGCTGTGCAAATGTTTTTAATTTAATATGATCTCATTTGTTGATTCTTGATGCTATGTTGGGGGGCAGCTGGGGCTCTGTTTAGAAAGACCTTTCCTATGCCTATTCATTCAATAGTTTCACCTACTTTATCTTCCGGCAGATTGTTTCTGATTCAGAGTCTACTCTTTGATTTGTTTTGATTTTATTTTGGTGCTTGGTGACAGATACGGGTCTAGATTCAATCTTCTGAAACTTTGTAAACAGTTTTCCTGGCACCATTTGTTAAACAGGCTGTCTTTCCTCCAGCGTCTCTTTTTGGCGCCTTTGTCAAAGATCAGCTGGCTGAATGTGCCTGGGGTTGTTTCTGCACTTAACGATTCTGAGTGACTTGGTCTTGACAGGCTGTGGAGACTCGGAAGCCCAGCCCAGGCTGAGGGTTCCTAAGTGCCAGCCCCTGACCACTGGCTCACCCTGAGCATCTCCAGACAGGAAGCAGCCCTGACTCCAAGGAGAGGAAAGTTTCACCCCAGAAGTAGGGCCCATTATGGCGAGCTGAGGGACCTCGGCTCTCTGAGCAAAGGCAGACTGGGCCGGGCGAGTGCTTAACTGCAAGAGCTCTCCAGGGCTCTTGGGAGGGACCTAGCAATGTGCTCACTTGCTGAGAGTTTTTGTACAATATGAAAAGTAAGATATTTTGGTATCTTTTTTCTTTCTTTGTTCGAGACAGGGTCTTGTAATGTAGTTCAGGCTGGCTTTGAACTCACTGTGTAGCCCAGGCTGGCCTCAAACTCATGACAATCCTCCTGCCTCACCCTTCTGACTGTTCGGATTATAGGAGTGCGCCACCACATCTGGTTGGTATCCTTTTTCTTAAAAATCTCCCTTCCCCAAATTTCTAAGCTTCAGACTCCATAAAGAGAGAGAGACAGAGACAGAGACAGAGAGAGAGAGACAGAGACAGAGACAGAGACGGAGAGAGAGAGGGAACAAGGCGGACCTCACAGTCAGTGAGTTCGGTGAGCAGATGTGT